TCTGTAGCTTTAGCTGGCTATATTTGAATTTATTTTGCATTTGGCATGCTTAGCTTTAGAGTTTAGCATTTGCAGCTATGATGGGAATACACTTGGATTAACAATTATCTGGAGCGCTAATGTTAGCTTCTGACACAATTAATCCCCAAATATGTTAACTAGTATTATTTTATTTGAAGTTGGACAAAATTACAGGCAGGCTTTAGGACCACCTTCAGGCACAAAGGCTTTTTTCTTTATACAAAAAAAAATAGCACAAAGGCTTTTAATTGTAATCCCACAGTCTTCCCCTTTCTCAGATCCTAGGAGCTGCAGTCACCCTTGCTAGCCGCTCAGCCTGTGCCTGTTAGCCAGCCAGTTGGAGTCAGCTGTTACTGTTGACTGGTCAGCTAGTACTATCAGAGGGTTACTCACTGAAAGCTGGGCAGTCAGATGGTGCTGTTAGGACTATATGCCTCTGCTCTACAGAAGGTTTATAAGATGTGTGAAACAGTTCAGCCACATTATTTATTTATTTTTTTTACCAGGGAAATCATGAAATAACACACTGAATCTGATTCATGTGAAACACTTTATTTTTTAAAGGAATAAAAGACAGACATCCTTTAATCAGCTATGAAACTTGCTGGTCTAGTTTATTGTCACAAATTATTGAGACATGCAGATTTAATTAATTAATTTTATTTATCATGAAACTGCAACTTGTGTGATGTCATGGTCTGTGAATGTTGTTTTTAGTCCTCATTTTTTCATATTTGAGATTTTTTCGTTTTTTATTGCAGCTAGAGTTAGTTCTTGATATTTTGCAATCCTAATTTCTGTGTAGCATCATTGCCTTTGGTAGAATTTGCGTGTGTGCTTGTCATTCTGACTGTAGACAGGATAGTTTTAAAAGAATTCTAGTGAACTTTGAACAAACTGTAGAGTGGGGTCATGTTAGCAATCCATCAAAACGTCCACCAGTGTCTTCATGGTCAACTGGTTGAAAGTTGAAAAAAGCCTTATTCCTTAGAAACTATGATTATTACAAGTGTGGTGTGCATTGTCAACAAATAGTAGGTACCAAAAAATATTTAAACTACAGTTTTTATACTTGACCTCTGACCTCTCCTTCAAGGTCAATAGATTCATCTGAAGGCTAAAGTGGTAATAATGCTATAAAGGCCAATTAAAAACTATATTAATTAGAAATATCCTGTCTCAGAGTGATGCTGAAAAACTAGTTAATGCATTTATTACTTCTAGGCTGGACTAGTGTAATTCATTATTATTAGGATGTCCTAAAAACTCCCTGAAAAGCATTCAGTTGATTCAAAATGCTGCAGCAAGAGTACTGACAGGGACTAGAAACAGAGAGCATATTTCTCCTATATTGGCTTCCCTTCATTGGTTTCCTGTTAAATCCAGAATTGAATTCAAAATCCTGCTCCTCACATACAAGGTCTTATTTAATCAGGCCCCATCTTATCTTAATAGTAGTACCATATCACCCCATTAGAGCAATTTGCTCTTGCACTGCAGGCTTACTTGTTGTTCCTAGAGTATTTAAAAGTAGAATGGGAGGGAGAGCCTTCAGTTTTCAAGTCCCTCTTCTGTGGAACCAGCTTCCCATTTGGATTCAGGAGACAGACACTATCTCTACTTTTAAGATTAGGCTTAAAACTTTCCTTTTTTCTAAAGCATATAGTTAGGGCTGGACCAGGTGACCCTGAATCCTCCCTTAGTTATGCTGCAATAGACGTAGGCTGCTTGATTCCCATTATGAGTTGAGTATTTCCTTTTCAGTCACGTTTCTCACTCATTATGTGTTAACAGACCTCTGCATTGAATCACATTTGTTATTAATCTCTGTCTCTCTTCCACAGCATGTCTTTTATTCTGTCTTCTTTCTCTCACCCCAACCGGTCGCGGCACATGGCCACCCCACCCTGAGCCTGGTTCCGGAGGTTTCTTCCTGTTAAAAGGGAGTTTTTCCTTCCCACTGTTGCCAAAGTGCCTGCTCAACGGGGGTCATATGATTGTTGGGTTTTTCTCTGTATGTATTATTGTAGGGTATACCTTACAATATAAAGCGCCTTGAGGCAACTGTTGTTGTAATTTGGTGCTATATAAATAAAATTGAATTGAATGGAATATTTTTTTTTTTTAATTTAGGATGAACAACTTTTTCTGATTAATATTTTCCAGTAAACATTTAAGCACATTTTACTAAATAATGGAATGAATGCTACACATGGACTATATCCACATTTAAAAAAAATAATGGAAAATAGTTGTACTTAAAATTATGTCAAGTATAATAAAATGGGTTTCAACAGAGCAAAGAACCAAAGCTTTTACTGCACTATAAACGTTTCAATATACATTTAAAAAGAAAACACTGTAATAAACACTTCCATTAATAGTAGGTAGAGATGTTCCAGGCCAGTAATTTCTTAGTCGACTAAACGAGGAAAAAAAAATTAGACTTACCGACTAGTCTAAAACTATGAAACACTCAGATATCAAGTTTTACTTAAGAACCATATTGATGTCAAAAACTGATCATGTTGCCTATAATACCTCGCACCATGCATTGTTAATGTTGCATGTTATGATCCAAACAGACAATAAAGAAGGAAAACAATTAAAATAAACCAATGTTATATATGATATGAAAATATGCTACTAGAAAAGATGTTCACATATTATTAAATATGACAAATTAGAAAAACTAAACTAAAACTACAACTGACGAGTGGCACATTGTGCCATGCATTATGAATGCTGCACACTGTTCGAACCACTTCAATAAAAGTTCAGTTAAAAAATTACGCATCATCTAGCCTTTTCTTCTGTTTATCTGACGTTGGGTCACAGGGGCAGCAGCCCAGACTTCCCTCTCAGCACATTCCTTCCAGCATATCCTGGGATACATCAAGGTGTACCCAGGCCAGTTGAGAGATAGCATCTTTCCATCTTGTCTTGGTCTATCCTGGGTCCTCCTCCCAGTAGGATGTGCCCGGCCGGAACACCATCCCCAGCCACATCAGCTGGCTCCTTTCGATGTGGAAGAGCAGCGGCTCAACTCTTCCTACTCCGCCCCTTTCAAATGACTCAACTTTTCACCCAATGGGAAAGCCCATCCACCCCTCAGAGAAAGTTAATTTTTGCCACTTGTATCCACGATCTTTAAAAGAACTAATTATAATAGTGTTAACATTATATATAGATTAACAGATTTATGCTGTTTCTCAAGATAGATGGTCGATCTGGTGGCGGTTGGTTGCATAGGATTTAGGACACAACAATTTAGCGGCATTGGATATCAATTAAAATGTAAAACAATCAGATTAAGTGAACTCTGGTACCGTCTATAGTGAAAATTAGTTGTCTAGTTGTATGGTCATGCACATTCAAGTAAATATTGCCTAGAGTGGGCTCCTTTAGCAGAAGACTGCCCTCTCTGAGTGCTTCTTGTAATTTATATTCTATTCTCTCTGTTTCAGTTGACTCCTATCTTCCTAGTGTCCCCTTGTATTTTTTTTTCACATTGTCCAGTGGTGATCTCTGTGTTAGGTGTTTCTGTTGTGTTCATTTCTTGTTTTACTTTGATAGTCCTTTACGGCCCCTGTCTCGACGGTTTCCACCTGTTTCTTGTTACCCAGGTGTTTCCACTCCTCTCATTAGATCTCAACGTGTTTGAATTATAAGCAGTTTTACGTGCTGTTGTTCCCTGAATGTTTATGATATGTTGTAGTTAGTTGCATTTTTAATTTCTGGACTGTCTAATCAGCCTGAATAAAGGTTTGTTAATTTTGTTGTCTTGCGTATTTGGGTCCCTTTTGCCTGGAATTTCATAACATTTGACATTTATCGATGGTGGCTCAAAACTTCTGCACAGTACTGTCTGTCTTGACTTCCAGCCTCACTGGCTAAGACCAGAGTTTGCAGTCTTTGTTTGGGCTGCCATGTCAGACCCAGAATAGGGACTACATCACTAGTTCAGCTACAACCATGTAGAAAATGGCCCAATCTCTGGATACTATGGACATATGGATTTAAAGAGTGTTAGAAAGATCAAAAACTAAACTGAGCTATTCCCTAAACTTTTTTGTGTGGTGTTTGAAACCCACATGAAGGGTTTGGGATCCACTGATGTAGAGAGCATGCACAATAGTCATACTGTGTAAATAAGTATATTTATTTTTCATTAATGATGTTTTTTAGCTCTGTCCCATTAACGCAAATATGACTTGATGGGGATGAAACAAAACGGCCACTACCATTTTTGTTTTTGGCGTATATGCCATCAAACTGGTAATTAGGACTAGCAGAGATGGTGTAATGACTTCACATCTGCCACCGGGAAGAAACAAAATGGCCACACATGTTGTTAGTGGAAGGCATTTTAAGTCTTCTATAGCTGTCAAACACAGATACGCCTGGTTATGTTAGACTGCTTTGTACAGGTAGATACTTGCAAAACTCACGTACAGCGTGTCTTATGGCTGATTGTCACATTCTCGCTGTGGAGGTGAGGTGAGCCAAGCAGAGCCATATTTAATGTTCCTTCCTTTGTGAGTGCAGAAATGAAGCGCCTGTGCCATTATGGTGGGTTTATTAGTATGTCGGGCGGTTAAAATGCGCCTTCGGCTCCCCCCCCCC